GAAGAGAACGGCGACGGGGGGGGGGGGGAGGGGGGGGGGGAATGGAGCAGACTCAAAGGATCTCAGGAAATCTTGTTTGGAAGCAGTAAGTCAGCACCCGCACTCCATTACCAGTGTCCGCGGGGGGTTGCGATAGTGAGCGAGCACAGAGCAGAAAATAAAATAAAATAAAATCCGCGGGGGGTTGCGATAGTGAGCGAGCACAGAGCAGCTTAGCTGAGAAATGGGAAAAAAAACCCACAGAAAATAAAATAAAATAAAGCGAGGGAGAGAAATGGAAAGGGAGGAGGGGAAAGAGGAGACCTTTCTGTGAATTTTGGTTTGTCTTTGTTAGTCTCTGCCGGCGTGGGGCTGCTGAAGAGAGGAATAACTGAAGTTTATAAAACAGTTTTAATTTGCCTGGGACTTCGCTGTGCTGTGTGATCTGCCCACCCTGCCACTAGTCACGTCAGGCAGATGCACAGCGATACAATTAGGGCTGATTTAGCAGGAAACCTTGGTGTGTGTTTGTTTATTTCTCGATATTTTGAGTCTCTCACCAAGATCTAAAAGCTTTTTGTTCCCCTCCTGCCATCAGCATGGAGCTTACCCAAGAATGGACAAATAGATGTAGAAGAAAAGACCCAAGCCCAGCCCATTTCCAAAGCCAAACCTTCTGGGTTCTTCTGCTGGTTTGGAAATGTTTAGGAATTCTAGTTTTCCATGGTTGTGCCTTTCTGTTTCCTCATCCCAGGTGACTTTGTGAGTTCCAAAACTCCCCAAGCAAGATTCATATTCCTGAAATTAATACCCTGTGTAACGTTGCTCAGAGATGTTCCGTATCTCAACAAAGGGATTTTTCCATGGAAACTTTTCCTTTCCAATATATTTACTCAGCCTCCACAGAGAAACGTATTCCCAGGGGAAACAGCATCAGGGTAGAGTTTGCTGGTGGGGCTTCTGTTAATGGGGTCTCCTGCCTGGAAAGAAGGAGGATGAGGTGGCTCAGTTTGCCGACCAGCACATTTGGGAAGCATTGGCCTTCTTTTGGTTATTCTATATAAAATGTCTTAGCATTTTCAATTTAATCAGGAAAAACACCTCACGCTTAGATAGCACAAGGTGAATAATGTCAATGGTTAGTTAGTAAAGCACAAAGTGCCCGTCTTCAGAGGGGAGATACTCAGCAGTGCATGAAAATCCCAGTTTTGAGATGGCGAGGGGCTAGTTAGCCTTCTGGCTTGAGTGTCCCCAGTTTCTGGAAGGGGTGAGCCCATGTCTCTTGATTTTGCTTGTTAGTGAAATTGCTGCCTGTAGAACTGAACCCCCTTCCTTTACCTTAAACAGCCCCCACTAGCACAGCGTGTCTTTTTGTTCCCTCTCTGGTTATCCAGACTACTAAAAACTTTGCCATCTGCTTTTGTCTAAGTGATAGCAGAGTTTGGTTGCCCTAATGCCAGGGATAGTGGCTGGTGTTTCTAGATCAACCAATTTTTAACGTAATTCACAGCAATGCCTCCGCCCTTCCCCTCCAAATTCCACTTTTACCACAGGGTTCCTCATAGCCCGTATTGGATGTACAACCCCACGGTGCTTCTGATTTCCTCAGGGTATTTCCGTTGCAAGAAGAGCCCACTCCTCTTTCCCAGACCATCCAGACCTAAGCAATTTCTCTTCCCCTTACAGCTAAGACCTTCCCATTCTTTTGTATAGCTTAGAAACTTTTCTTTAGACCTTCTCCATAATTTGTACATCTCTACAGAAGCAGGGTGCCCAAAACAAGATGCAGTGCTCCAGGTGGAACCTCACCATAGCCTTGAACAATCAGGTAATAACTTCCCATCGCCTGTTTGTTTTTTTTTTTTCCTAATTCCCCCCCTTGTGCAGCCTGCATTGGTCTGCTTTGCTGCAGCTCACCATCGCATCCCCAGCTCCATCTCATCCCCAGCATCTCCCCCCAAGCCCTCTCCATCATGAGTGTGTGGCAGTTCTTCATCCGTCAAGTGAAACAGGGTCGTTTTAGGACACGTAAACCCTCATCTCCATTCCACCCGCTGTGTCCTAGACCACTCCCCTACGGCGCTGAAACATCCTTCAGATGTTTTTGAACTCACTGAAAGGCACTGATGATATTTCTGGGTTTGTTGTTCGCTGCCAAACTGCACCGCTTTCCAAGCACAGGCCCACAGTAACCGTTTCTGAGCACTTTGGAGGGATCTGGTGTGATCTGTCCCATCCACACCAAAAAGGACTCAGGCACGTTGCGTTCTGTTCCTGGCTCTGCTTCAGACACACTTTGCGTGGCCTTGGGAAGGGCATTTCACCAGCCTCCATATATTTTCCAACAAAATGGGGAAGGTTAGGAAAATGAGATGTTAGTGCTCTCCAGCAGCAGCCACATCAGCCCTGGAGTCCTTCTGCAGGAGGAAGGACTTGTGAGATGGTGTTAGCTCATATTCCTAACACTGCTCTCTGTAGCACTAGTAATATAGATATAGATATCTATAGGGATCTAGGTACAGATATTAATATAGATTATAAATACCTGGCGAGATGAACTAAAGCTGGGGCAGTAGAGCATCAGGTTTCTTAAATTTTATCACACAGCAAAATAAAGTAGAGAGTTAAAGTACCTTCTCAGTATTCCCACTGTGCTTGAAGTCAGTGAAGTTACCCTTAAAGAAGGCTAATGTGAAGTTTGCTCCCTGGGCTCCAAAATTTAGTTGGAAGTGACCCCAGATAGAAGGGACAGCACTTACCCAGATCAGACATTTGCAAGGTTCAAGAGGAGGGAAGCACTGTCTGGATCCTTGGCCTGATTGCAGAATCAAATGTCATGGGTGTACTTACTGGACCCGTTTGGCATATTGGGATACAACTCAGCTGGGTCTACTGATTTAGAAAATATTCAAAATTAATTGCTTGGGTTTGTGAGTGCAGTGTTAGTGATTGCTACATAAGTCATTTTAGTCCTACCTAGGGGCATATTTGCATATATTTATCCTCCTTTCAAGTGAAGATCTTTGGGGAAACTGTATTTATCTCCTCCCAACTCTTTCTTCGGCTTTCAGTAGTCCTACAGTCACCTCTTCATTTTGTTTCCATTTAATGTATGTATAGAATAATCGACTCTTCCCACCAAGTGAAAATGAATCCACAGAGATCAAAAACATTAATATGAGGGAGAGTTGCCTTCTGCGAGAGAGAAGGGAAAGATTAGCTGAACAGGCTGCAAAATAAAGATGGAAAAGATTAAGCTGGGTCCCCACCAAGTAGCTCAGAACAGTCTTGGAGGACAGGGCAGGAGACCTACCCAGAGGAGAAGCTGCATCACCCTCAGATGGCAGAGAGACCAAGCCCTCATGGAGGAACTCGGAGCGAATCGTTAGCTTGGTCCCTGTCATTAGTAAATCCATGAGATCCAACATGTTTCCCAGCACGGCCATCAGAGCCCTGTGAGACTTCCCATCCCCTGGGAAGTGGTGTAAATATTGACACCCCACAAGCTGAAACAAATAGAGATTTCAGCCTACAAACACCCTTCACAACACGGAATTTCCTAGTGCTTTTTGCCTGGTGTACTATCAAATATTCCAACTGATCCCATTTCCAGCCTTTCCCAAAGAGAGGGGATTTCTACCCATTCCTAGGAAAGCAGTACCGCAGCCTCAGAAATACCCCCTGCTGCCAGGAGACCCTTCCTCTGGGTTTCCCTTTTGGGTTTCTGCCCAGGATTGCATTCCTTTGGGACCACCCAGCAGCTTCTCTGGGGTTAACACCCTTCAGCGGGCTGCAGGTCATTATGTCTTCCCTTTATTCAGAACTTCGCCAGGCTCAGCAGTTTCTAAACACAGCGTTTTTTTTTTTCAAAGGCAGCCTCTGATTTTGGACGCTTTGCGCTGTGTCAAATCGAGTGGCCAGAAATGGAGACACCACAGAATCAAGGGTCACTCTGGAAAATGCTGTCCCCATCGTTTTGGTTGCCAGGGTTTGATCTCCTCACACCTCGGTGTCCTCCTGCTCGTGGGGCAGTGCAGCATCACCAAGCCGAGATGTAAAGCCGTGTCTGGGGCCTGATGTCCCTATGGGTGGGGTATCTTAGCAAGCCTAAAGCAAGCTGATGATGCAGGGCAGGAGGTGTAGGGACTCAGAGGATGGACATACAGCTTTTTGGGCACAGCTTGTATCTCCCATAGAGCTCTTGACTGCAAAGCCCAGTGAGATGCCGCAGCCAGGTCTGCGGGGACAAGGCTTTGTCATCTGCTGCCCTTCCTCCATCTCCCTGGTGCCCTCACACCCTTCTCTATCTCAGTGGTATCTCTCCCTATCACTTGTCCGCCCCTCGAGCCCCTCCTGCCCCCCCAAC